AAAAAAAAAAAAAAAAAGAGTATGGATCTGGAATAGGGGAGTGAGCGACTGGAATGCTGGGCAGAGCACAGTAGTTGGGGCCATAGATATTATTGAAGATTTCCAGAGACTCTAGGACTTCCAAGATTTACATGCAAATGACATTCACCCTAGAAAATCATTCTGTTACTTCATAGCCATGAGCAGGCGGGCAGAGCCATAACTTAGCTCTTTGGTGCTGACTCTCACGTTCTGATTGGGTTGACTGTCATGTTTCAATAGAAGCTGGATGCTCTCTTTCAGAATCACTGCTTGTGCAATGACTATGAATAAGTATGTGGAAGAAAACGTGTCTCAGAAATCCTACACGACCATCAAATATTTCATGAAGATGCTGAGCAGCGTCAGTGAGACCTTGATCTTCATCTTCATGGGCGTCTCCACCGTGGGGAAGAACCACGAGTGGAACTGGGCTTTCGTCTGCTTCACCCTGGCCTTCTGCCTCATCTGGCGAGCACTGGGTAAGGAGGACTGGTCGCTAAATGAACATGCAGTGGTGCTCACTAGCAGACTGGGGCTGTCTTCCTCTCGGCCTCCCCATGAAGATGCTGAGGCCTCTCTTTCATCTCCTTCATTTCTTCTTCACTCAGAGCTGCTTCTTTCTTCTCACCACCCTCCTCCTCCTTCTCACCCTTATGTGCTTATTCCTCATCTTTCTCCTCCTCTGCGTCTCTTCCTTTTTGTTCTTGCTCCGCCTTCTGCTTTTTCCCCTTCGGCGTTGTCTTCTTCCTCCTCTTCCTCTTCTTTTTCTTCCTCCACCTCTTCCTCTTCCTCTTTTCCTTCCTCGTCTCTTCATCTTCTCTCCGTCTTCCTCTTCTCTCTCCTTCCTGATTTACACTGCTTCCCTGAGTATCTTCATGCCTTTGCTGTAAGTCACATGAGTCAGTCTTGGATTTTCGGGTTTCACATTTTCACCCATGGTCGTGGAACAATGTCAAAGACCCAGAGCCTAGGGATACTAGTAAGATAAAGAAAGATGGGAAAGATTTGAGGCCTGTTCCTTTTTTTTTTGATTTTTTGATTTTTTTGAGTTGGAGTCTCACTCTGTCGCCCAGACTGGAGTGCAGTGGCCGCTCCCGGCCACCGCAGCCTCGACCTGCTGGGCTCCGGCGATCCTCCCGCCTCAGCCTTCCGAGTAGCTGGAACTACAGGCGCGCGCTACCACGCCCGGCTAAGTTTTGATTTCTTGTAGAGATGAGGTCTCGCCAAGTTGCCCAGGTGGGTCTCGAGCCCGCGGGCTCAGGCAATCCACTCACCTCGGCCTCCCAAAGGCATGGGATGACAGGCTGAGCGACTGAGGCCTGTTCTTAAATCCTTTGTCCTGCCACAGAAGCACAGGAAATGGACTACGTATTCTCACATGTTGGCCTCACCCAATCTGTTTTTTTTGGGGTTTGTCTCTCTTTGCAGGTGTCTTTGTCCTGACTCAGGTCATTAATTGGTTCCGGACCATCCCCCTGACTTTCAAGGATCAGTTCATCATTGCCTATGGAGGACTCCGAGGGGCCATCTGTTTCGCGCTAGTGTTTCTCCTTCCTGCTGCCGTGTTTCCTCGGAAGAAGCTGTTCATTACAGCTGCCATTGTTGTCATATTCTTCACTGTCTTCATTCTGGTGAGTAGAGCTCTGTTTCCCTTTGCCAGAAGGAAACAAGTCTTCTCAGACTACAGCGGAATGAATTCTGTTTACAGGATACAAGTGGCCAAGGTGTGTTGAAGCTCTGGTAGTGATGTTACTAGGGAAAACGACATTTCCTGTCGCCGGATTGTCCAGAGGCCTAAGAGAATCCAGTGTGGTCACTGGGCCCACACAGAGGAATGATTATTTAGGGAAACTCAGCTAAATAAGCTTACTATTGGCAACTTTTGAACTGCACTGGCTATTCCTCTTTTTTCTTGCTCTCTGACCCAGCGTATGTACTTGTTAAATGTCGGTTGTGCATGATGACCTTTCAACAGCAATTTGACATGAGCTGACTGCCTGGCAGTCCTTTCCCAAAACGGAGGAGGGTAGTGAATACAAGTTTAATACTGGGAGGCAGAAAGGGTGGTGGATCTGTGTCCAGATCCCAATCTGCATGTTAATCAGTCTCTTTAAGTGAATACACCAGCTCTCAGAAGATTATATTTTGCAGATATTCACTTATGAAGTATTTGTTGGACTCCTATGTGCCAAGCTGTGATCTAGGAGTCTGAGGATCTATAAGTGAACAGAACATAAAGAGATCCCTGTCTCCGCAGAGTTTACATTGCAGGGAGTGGCAGGCACCAGACGAGAAACAGAAAAAAATAAGTAAATTATAGAGCATGTTAGAAGGTGAAAGACACGGCCAGGCTTGGTGGTTCAGCCTGTAATTCCAGCACTTTGGGAGGCTGAAGTGAATGGATTGCCTGAGCCTGCAGGTGTGAGACCAGCCTGGGCAACTTGGTGAGACCACATCTCTACAATAAGTAAAAAAAAAAAAATTAGCCAGGCATGGTTGCACGTGCCTGTAGTTCTGGCTACTAGGAAGGCTAAGACGGAAGGATCGCTGGAGCCCATCGGGTCGATGTTGGGGTGGCCATGAGCATGCCGCTGCACTCCAGTCTGGGCAACAGAGTGAGATTCCTATTAAAAAAAAAAGAAGAAGAAGGTGAAGGATGCTATATAAGATGGGAAAAGTAAGGGGTCGGGCGTAGTTTGGGTAAAGTAGTAGGGTGGGTTACAACTCTTTATTTTTTCTTTTTATTAAAAGCCCCTGAGAAGTAGGAAGGGGGTTACAATTCTAGATGGAATGATCATGGAAGGGAACAGTGAAAAAAAAATGACATTTGTGCTAAGGCAAGCTGGAGGAAAAGGGATTAGTCAAGCCCCAAATCCTTCCAGGCAATGAGCTGACGGACAAAGTTTGTTCTGCAGGCAGTGTGTTCCTAGCCAGTGAATAGAGTGGTGTGGAGTGACAGAAGAATGAAGCGGTGAAACTCTGGAGTCCCAGACCACTTAAGAACTGTGAGGGAGTTTTGCTCTTTTCCACATGAAATGGAAGCCATCAGAAGGTTTTATGCAGATGCCTGGCGTGTTCTGGCTCACTGGAAAAGGATCACCCCAGCCACTGTGTTGAGAATAGACTGTTAAGAGAAGGGGTGAGAGTGAGGGATCCTGCGTGGAAACCAGCAGTCATCAGGCAGGGCCAGGCTGCGGTGGCGTTGGTGAGAAGTGCTGAGATCCTATAATCAATCCTGAAGGTAAAACATGGGATTCCCTGACGGGTTAGATGTGACTGTGAAGGAAAGACCGGTCATTGATAAAAAAAAAAAATTAGCCAGGCACGATTGCGTGTGCCTGTAGTTCTGGCGACTTAGAAGGGTAAGACAGAAGGATTGCTGGAGATCCAGGGGTTTGGGTTTGAGCAGCTAGAAAGACCAATTTGCCCTCAGGTGAGAAGGGGAGACCATATGTGGTGGAGATTAGAACAGGGAGATTGGTAGTTCAATGGTGGGCATGCTGGGTTAGGGATGTCTATTCGACCAGCAGTGGAGCTGTGGATCGGCAGAGCTTATGATCTGGAGTTCAGGAGAGCGGCCAGTCGTCAGCGGAGAGCTGGTGCTGGAAGCCATGAAACGGATGTGATTGTCAGCAGAATGGAAAATGCGTGTTGAGGAGAGCAAAAGAGAGGACCAAGAATTGAGACCTGAGGCAGCCAACCTTGAGACACTGGGTAGCAGAGGGGAGCAGCCAAGGAGACTGACAACAGGTGATCAGTGAGGAAAGTGGAAAGCTAGGAGGTGTGTGTGCATGAATTTTTATATTTATTTAATAATTAGTTACAGAATGCTTTCCTGACTCAAGTCTAAGAATCTTACACGTTAATTCATTTAACCCTCATAACGATTCCGTGGCACATAACTCTAGGAGGAGTCACTGTTTACTATCCCCATTGTGTGGATGAGAACAGTAAAGCACTGAGACTGAGGTTAAGTAATTTTTCCAAGTTTACACGGCTGATGAAAGGCAGAGCAGAGATCAGCCCGGTTTAGTTTTAACCCTGATATGGTGTCTAGGAGAGAATCTGGTGTGTAGTGGATGCTCAATATTGTATTGCATCACAATTCTCCTTCCTTCTAGTTGGTTGTCATTCACTCATGCTTTCCAACATCGGGGACAGTAGGTGGTCTGAAATCCTTAAGAAGAGGGCCTTAGGAGACCTTTTCTAAGTTATCATGTCATTAACACCTTTTTATGGCCACTTCTCTTCAGTGATTATGGATATCCTGATCTGTCAACCACTCAGATGGGGAGCTTTTCTATATGCATTACCTCATTTAATCATCAAAACAAAACTGTTGAGACAGAGCCAGAGGATCAAAGAAAGAAATAGACTGACCCCAAAACACACATTTGTAAGTGACTGAGGCTGAAATGAAGAAGACCTTATTTACCGGGTTGTGACCGTAATAGTTTTATTTATAGCTATTAAGTTTTGTCCAAATACCCCATGTTGGTTTGAATTCCCTCCTTAAATTCAGGGATTGCCATGGAACCCTCTGCATGGGAAGCACATTTCCTTGTCTTCAACTTTGAACTTCGTTGTTTATAGGACTTTTTTTTTTTTTTTGAGTTGGAGTCTCACTCTGTCGCCCAGACTTGGAGTGCAGTGGCCACTCCCAGCCACCAACAAGTCATCCAGTTTACTACTCTCATACCTTGCCCAAGGTAAAATTATGAAGTGGATCACAAGTGCTTCTCAGATGTCTACCCAAGTGCTACACACACCTTCTAGCTTTCCTCCTTCCTCACTGATCACCTGTTGTCAGTCTCCCTGGCCGCTCCCCTCTTCTACCCAGTGTCTTAAGGGTGGCTGCCCCAGGGCTCAATCCTTGGTGCTGTCTTTTGCTCTCCTTAGTGTGCATCTTCCACTCCCTTGCCAATCACATCCAGTTTCATGGCTTCTAGCACCAGCTCTCCGCATATAACTCGCCCCCCTCCTGAACTCCAGATCTGTGATCTCTGTCTATCCAATTTCCACCACGGGTTGAATAGACACTCCTAACGCAGCATGGCCACCACTGAAGTACCAATCTCCCGGCTCCTGCCACCTCCACACGTGGCCTCCCCTTTCTTACTTGAGGGCAAATTGGTCCTTCCAGCTCCTGGAGCCATCCGTGTCTCCCCTTTCCTTCACACCCACATCTAACCCATCCGGGAATCGATCCTAGGATCTCACCACTTCTCACCAACTTTACTCCAGCCTATTTCCAGCCCTGCCTAATGATTGCATGGCTGGATCCCCTACTTCTACGCCTTCCTCTCCAGATTCTCCCCACGTCATTCTCCTATCAGTCCACACCACTCTAGCCACCTGTCAGGAGCACACAGCCTTCAGAACACACTTTGTCCTTCAGCACGTTGCCTGGAAGGTACCTCCCATGTGCCTTTGTTCAGATGCCGTTTTTCTCACTATTCCCTTTCATGATCATTCCCTCCAGAATTGTGAGCCCCTTCCTACTTCTCAGGGGCCTTGCTAATCAAAATAAAATTAAGAATTGTCACCCCACCCTCTTACTTAACCTTACCATACCTGATCCCCTACACAAGTTTACACAAGTGCTTTTCAAATATCTGCAGTGCAAAACCAGCCTCCCACCCCAAGTATCATGGACGTATGCATTTTAAAAATATAATGGAGCCGGGCTTGGTGGCTCAGCCTGTAATCCCGCGCCTTTGGGAGGCTGAGGTGA